AACTGATCTGATAGATTGATGGACAACTGATCTGATAGATTTATTGACAACTGATCTGATAGATTGATGGACACCTGATCTGATAGATTTATTGACAACTGATCTGATAGATTGATGGACACCTGATCTGATAGATTTATTGGCAACTGATCTGATAGATTTATTGACACCTGATCTGATAGATTTATTGACACCTGATCTGATAGATTGATGGACAACTGATCTGATAGATTTATTTACAACTGATCTGATAGATTGATTGACACCTGATCTGATAGATTGATGGACACCTGATCTGATAGATTGATGGACAACTGATCTGATAGATTGATGGACAACTAATCTGATTGATGGACAACTGATCTGATAGATTTATTGACAACTGATCTGATAGATTGATGGACACCTGATCTGATAGAATGATGGACAAATGTTCTGATAGATTGATGGACACCTGATCTGATAGAATGATGGACAAATGTTCTGATAGATTTATTGACACCTGATCTGATAGATTTATTGACAACTGATCTGATAGATTGATGGACAACTGATCTGATAGATTGATGGCCAACTGATCTGATAGATTGATGGACAACCGATCTGATAGATTGGTGGACAACCGATCTGATAGATTGATTGACAACTGATCTGATAGATTGATGGACAACTGATCTGATAGATTGATGGACACCTGATCTGATAGATTTATTGACACCTGATCTGATAGATTGATGGCCAACTGATCTGATAGATTTATTGACAACTGATCTGATAGATTGATGGACACCTGATCTGATAGATTTATTGACAACTGATCTGATAGATTTATTGACAACTGATCTGATAGATTGATGGACAACTGATCTGATAGATTGATGGACAACTGATCTGATAGATTGATGGACAACTGATCTGATAGATTGATGGACAACTGATCTGATAGATTGATGGACAACTGATCTGATAGATTGATGGACCCCTGATCTGATAGATTTATTGACACCTGATCTGATAGATTTATTGACACCTGATCTGATAGATTGATGGACAACTGATCTGATAGATTGATGGAAAACTGATCTGATAGATTTATTGACACCTGATCTGATTAATTGATGGACATCAGATAGATTTATGGACAAATCTGATAGATTGATGATCAGACAGCTTGATGGACAACCGATCTGATAGATTGGTGGACAACCGATCTGATAGATTGGTGGACAACTGATCTGATAGATTTATTGACAACTGATCTGATAGATTGATGGACAACTGATCTGATAGATTTATTGACAACTGATCTGATAGATTTATTGGCAACTGATCTGATAGATTGATGGACAACTGATCTGATAGATTTATTGACAACTGATCTGATAGATTGATGGACAACCGATCTGATAGATTTATTGACACCTGATCTGATAGATTATTGACACCTGATCTGATAGATTGATGGACAACTGATCTGATAGATTGATGGACAACTGATCTGATAGATTGATGGACAACTGATCTGATAGATTGATGGACAACTGATCTGATAGATTGATGGACACCTGATCTGATAGATTTATTGACAACTGATCTGATAGATTGGTGGACCACTGATCTGATTAATTGATGGACATCAGATAGATGTATGGACAAATGATCTGATAGATTGATGATCATACAGCTTGATGGACAACCGATCTGATAGATTGGTGGACAACCAATCTGATATATTGGTGGACAACCGATCTGATAGATTGGTGGACAACCGATCTGATAGAGTGATGGGCTTGGCCAGATAAAAAAAAAACAGATGAAAACGTCAATATACAAACAATAAGGGCTGAGGCTTTCAGTCAATGACAGTGTGCATGATTAGTGTCAAAGTCCACCATTAATTGACAGAGCCTACTATTCATTGACAGTACATCATAAGCTGACAAGAGAACACCATGAATTGACAAACCTCATCCAAGCCATTGGTTGAGAGGGCACATAAGAAATGTACAGAGCGTATTACTAGATATGATCAAGCAAATAACTTTTCAAATACTAATTACACCTGTCTTTGATATGACCCACCAGTGTACATGACAATAACCCACTTTTCTTTGATATGACCTACTAATGTACATGACAATGACACACTTTTCCTTGATATGACCTGCAAATGTACATGACAAACCATACATAAAAGTACTTAAGGAACTTAGCAAAAAACTCATTTAAAAACGTAATATTAGTTTTATTTATTTTTATACATGAATGAAAATACATATGAACCTGTAATGATAATAATAATAATATTGCATTCCCATAGTACAATGTTGGTGCCATACAAAAAATGGCCAATTAACAGCACATACAATGTGTGAATATGTGCAGTTAATACAGCAAGGGAGGCGCTCCATTTCTGGTCTCCGGGAGAATACAAGTTTTATGGCCTCTATTCTAGTTCTTTTCAGTTAACATATGGCAATTAAAGTAGGACTGTGGAGAGGCAACAACACAATACCAGTGCAAATATCTGGGGATAAAACACTGAACTCATCAAGTGCTTCTAGATTCTAGAGCTTCTATTGTCCACAGACATTGGTCTTTAGCTATCCTGGCCGTTGGCTAAATGGATGGTAGCAAGTAGTCCTGCTTATAAAATCCTACATCAATAATTGTGTCCAGGGCAGCACTTCACGGGGAAGACCTAGCCAACCAAGCAAGCCACTCATCCATCAAGCCTAACAAGGAAAACCAAAATAATCCAACGCTTACAATTCTTTTGAGAATGCTCAAGGATATTTCCTAACTGGCATCCCAACATTTTTTTTTTGTCAGTAATGACTTGAAAACCTTATATCATATTAATTAACTTGTCTATTTTTGAAAAGGTTAAATGTCACTAATCCCAGCAGTTCGACAGTTTCCTATGTCTTTTTATGGAAGCCAAAATGAGCTCCTAGATAACTCATCCATGAGCTCCTAGATAACTCATCCATGAGCTCCTAGATAACTCATCCATGAGCAAAACTCAGTTCCTCCACTTTTTATGTTAATGTTCCATCCTTTCCTAACCATGCATCCTCTACTCTGACCCACGCACTTCTCTCACTTAACTCTCTCTGTACAACAGTTCTAGCCCCGAGCACACACAACAATACATATATGTACAGCCGTAGGTATCATCATGGTAAGTATTTCTTGTACATAGTCAAACCCCTAATAAACTGATCATTTATTTTGTTGGTGTTATAGTTAAAACTTCATTATGCTCCGATTGAAATATCACAGTCACACAGAGTTCTCCCACACGCCCAACAACGAATGGGCTAGCTTACAGGTGCAGTGTAACATTCCGGCTTACAGGTGCAGTGTAACATTCATTCCAGCCAAGACATAACAAAAAAAACCCTCTATTCATGATATATCTCCGAGATGCATTCTGTTTGACACATATGACTACAGCTCAACTCCCCAAGCTGTCACTCTGCTTATGGTCAAAATAAGAATTCAAACCTGTTTGTTTACATATTTACAATTTTTTCAACAGCAAAGAATTGATATTTCAAAAAAAAAAAAGATCTACACTTAACTCGTCGTCATGGCCCATTTTACATTGCTGGTTTTACTTTAAGTTCAACAACAATCTCTGAGACCACCCATGTTTGTCCATAATCAAAAAAATTCAAGTTACAAATCAGTTTTTAACAACACAAGAATTTCACTTCAAGGTAATTCATGATAAATATGAACTTTACAAACATGCCAATGACCAATAATAATACAAATGAAAGGCTAATCCTTAACACCCTACTCTTGAGCATGACAAGATCTAGCTGACATAAAATCAATGTCTCTCAACAATGAAAATTAAGTTCAGCAGAGCTGATCAAGTGGCAGAGCAGGTTAAACCTAATGAGCTGACCAAAAGGTGTGGATCAAAAAATGTTGTACTCACTGCCCAGTCCTAGTGACACTAACAAAGCTATTTGAGGGAGTTGTGAAGTTGTTGGATAGGGTTCAACTAACTGTGACCTATCAGGTGGATTTAGGGAGATGGAAAAGAAACAGTCATTGTGATGTCTAGATGAAGAACAAAGACTGTTAAGATCAGTTCCATGTTCACAAAATCACCTAACTGCCATATATGTTAAATAAGGGTCAGACCAATGCAGGTCTTTCTGTCATGCAAACAGCAATGTAGGTCATTCTCTTATACAAAGACCAAATTAGGTCATTCTCATCATATAATCAAAAACACCAATTTAGGTCATTCTCATCATATAATCACAAACACCAATTTAGGTCATTTTCACACTCTAGACCATTTAGGTCATGCACAACACACAGATCAATGTCTATCGTATACAAAAAAAACAACAACTTATTCACACACACCCCAAGCACATAATACAAGGTGTGTTCATTTGATATAAACACACCTTACACATTCAGGCCATACTCATATGACAGAAACACACCGTCATAATAATCCTATAAGAAAATAATAATTCAGTCCTTGTCTGTACATTCCACTCACCAAGTATTAAATAAACTGCATGACTCTGTTAGCTACTTTCAACTCTGAATGGACACAAACTCATATTTTCTTAGACAAAATGCTGCAGAAACTCAATGGAGTAGACAGTACATTTTAACTCTCTGCTCTTATTTCAACGAGCCGTTCAATTAGCTATGAGCCAATAAACTTAAATATCTCAGTATTCTCATTAACCCATGTATACAAATGGCATGTGACTGTTAAATAGAATTGGGAACACAAAAACAGGGAGATAAATTGTTTGTGTTGTTGGGTCTTTTCTGAATGTCTGACATTGTAGATGAATAGTAATAAAAATACTCTACGTTGTGTGAACAAATGGTGAATTAGGGACTAATGTTTAATGTGAATATGATACAAGGACGTGATGAACATGTGAGACTATTCAACTCATTGAACTGCTACCATAAGAAGAAATTTTGGGGGGGGGGGGGGGGGGGGGGGTTTTTTTTTTTCTGGGAGCCATGGCTTATAGCATAAGAAGTTCTAGACCTTTGTTTTATAAAAGTTGGTTGCAACAAAAAATGATGTGAAAGCTTTTCTGTACTAGAGAAAGTTTCTCAATTCCAGCCTAGAGAAGGGGAGGCGGGTTCAAACTTAAGAGATGTTGACATTTCAATTGATTGAGGGGTAGCGGTTCATTTAATGGACACTGTGGAATAAGGTGAAAAAAATGAACAATACAGAAGAGAAAGCAGAAAGTTCAATGCAAAAACTGACAAGTAATCAAGGATAAGCTTTTAGCATTTTCACTGTCAGCAGGTGGGCTGAAGCTGGTGTGTTGGCTTTCGGTTTTAAAATGCCGAAGCAGATTTGTAAGAAGCTAAATAGAAGTCTATGAGGTAAGGCGATTGGGCTGGCAACCCATCATCAACCACAATGTGGATTACAAGCACAGTTGATCTTTGAGAAGCAGCCAGAAGACAAAAAGAGATGCTCACGTCCTTCAAAACTGCTACCATATTACAAAACACACATCTCCAGGGTATACACAGAACAGCTGAGTTATTTCAAGGGTCTGCCAAATTAGGATCAGAAACTGAATACCCTGTGTCGAGTTTTAACCATCAATATGTTCCTCTGTAGAGTGGATGAATTATTTGCTGACTGTGAAATGATGCCAGAATTCCAACACTGACATCTCAAATTAAGTTGAGACTCGGTGCTTGTTTTTAAAAAACAAGGGAGAAAAAGAGGGTATTTTGAAAAGCACTGATTAAGGTATGAAAATAATATACATAATTACAGAATGAAAGGCTAATAATGTTATCAAAACATTCATGTTCAATTTTTAATGTGACATTTCCATGACAATGAAGCTAGAGTAATCTCCATCCATTGTGTGGGTAATTTAGACTCATCCTTTGTGTGGGTAATTAGACGTAACACTGCTCCTCTTTTACTGTCAAAAACCAACAAACAAATCTGTACAGACAAGACCCAACCAAATCTGTACAGACAAGACTGCTAATTATAATTTCAATTCAGCTGTAATGTACACTATATGTATGAGTATATCCCCCTTCCACAATTGCATATGAAGAAAATCTGGTGATGCCGACTAATTTGGATTTGATCAATGCTTGTTTAAGCAAATCTGAACTTGCTCAACAGTAAATGATGGTGTGACAATCTGGGATTATTATACATTGATATCAAAGGAAGCCTAAGTAGATTGCAGGACGTGTGACTGGTGAAAATTTTACCCACATTTTCCTCAACAGTTAGAAGAAAAGAGATAAGAAGAAGGCTGTGCTTCAAATGCATTCCTCGTCTTAGTCTGTCTCCAGCTTTGACCACGGGCACATCCTATTTCTGACATCAAAGCTGCTCGAATATGTGTTTGTAGTCTGAGAGGCAAAAATAATACATCCAGCTTTGATCACGGGCACATCCTATTTCTGACATCAAAGCTGTTCGAATATGTGTTTGTAGTCTGAGAGGCAAAAATAATACACATGCCCATCAGGTTCATTGAAACACCACTTTATTTAACATAATCACTCTCTTGTGGATCAAGCTCCGCAATGTAAATGTCAACTTAACAGTTGTGTGGTGCTGCTGGCATCTCGGTACCTGATGGTCCACCATTTGTTCCTGGATGTTCAGGTCTGCTGATGCTACAAGGATGTCCAAGGATGGATCAGCCTGACAGCCAACAGTGGTTGAATGGCCGGACAAGACAATAGAATTAAAACAAGAAAGCTGCATCTTATAGACAAAGCTATCGAGTCTTGTCGCACCTTACGTTTCAGACTGCCAAGGAAGAAAAGAATTTCTCTTCTCGATATAAAAACAGGGTTGATGCTACAAAAAGGAAGCTAATAAAGGGTTGCATTTAAGGTTGATAAACTAAGAGTGAGATATGAAATCATATAGTGAGGCGAACGATTGGAGGGAAAAAAAAAGGATATTAGGTTTACATTGTTTGATACTTGCTGAATGAGGGTAAAAAATGCACTGTTTCCACTATACATCTGTCATCCAATGCTAAAATGATGCTGAAATTCTAAGGTTAAGGATGATTTTGTAGGTAAATATTCTGGTTTATTTTCATGATGTTACAAAAAATATCCTGTTAAGAGAAATTGAGAGTAAACATCATAATGGCAGGGTTTGTAACAATTTCAGACACTGTTTTTGCCAAAGGTTTAACAGATATGTAGTGAAGATAGAGCCAGTTAACATATACAAATAAAGAAGTTGACACTATCCGGCCCATTTGAGTGTTCATTGTGGAAGCTTTTAAAAAAATGTTGTCCTATGTGATCTGTGATGATACATACATTGATGACCAGGTGGTCTATATCAAATGGATGGATGTCTGATGGAAGGGCTCAGACATCTATGCATTTTACACTACCACAAGTAGGTCGAGAAGGAAGGGGGAGGGGGGTGTGCCGTAAATGAAACAGCCATCGTTATAAGGGTGTGTGGGAAGTGAAAGAATTGCTGGAAGAGCTTCCACTCAGACTGAGCATGCTGCCACGTATGCTGATGTCATCATCCACCTGTTCCTCAGAGGCATGAGCGACTTCCAGAGTATTCAAGCCCATACGAGTTGTTTCAATGTCAAAAGCCTTCAACTCTTCACTGTGCTTAGCTTGAAGTGCAGCGCGTTTATCCTGCTCCTCCCTATCAAAACTCACACGTTCTTCATCCATCTGGCAATAGATCAATTAATATTGTAATAAGGGGAACAACAATTTCAACAGGTTCAATTAATATATATGATGCCAGTTGGATTCTTAACAGGTATATTGTAAATGAGTTCCCACAACCATGATGCCAGTTGGATTCTTAACAGGCAGATTTGTAAATGGGTTCCCACAACTGCCAGTTGGATTCTTAACAGGCAGATTTGTAAATGGGTTCCCCACAACCATAATGCCAGTTGGATTCTTAACAGGCAGATTTGTAAATGGGTTCCCACAACCATGATGCCAGTTGGATTCTTAAAAGGCAGATTTGTAAATGGGTTCCACCATGATACCTTGTTTGAAATAATTAAGAATATAAATAGAGGATTGATTTTATAGAAAAATATATTAATTTTATATCATATAAATCTTGAAGCGTCAGGTTAAGGCCTAGAAATCTGAATGTGCCTCAATAGCTTCATCTCTATATTTACCTTTTGTTCTAATAAAGCTCTACGTAGAGAGACCCGCTCCTCTAACACCTTCCTCTCTCGTTGGTGCTGTGCTTCTGTGTGCATCTTTATTTTGCTCTGGTAAGCAATGAGCAGCTCCAGCTCCTGCTGCAGGCGCTCTCGCAATTCACTAGCATCAGCCATCTGTGCCTCATCAAGTCTCACCTGAAAAGTGGCGAGAGAAAACATGTATTTAAGAAAAGAAGTAGAACAAAATTATTCTTTTACCAAAGTATATTTTCATTCCATCAAAACTTACAATTTGAAAAATCCAAGGACAATGTTTAAATCTCAGTACTATGCCATGTTAAGACAGCAAGTCAAGCCTTTAACTTATGTCAATTACATAACATTCTGATTAAATGAAAAATAATAATATGCATTTAAAGCCATTTATATATATCAAGCTAATGATAAATGAACCAGCCACATTTGCTAGATTCCAGTTGTACTAATAGCAAAAGAATATTGCTTTTCAAATCTCTTATTTTTTCTTCTTCAAAATTGTAAGTAGTAACTTTAACGTCCCGGGTATTTTTTTTAAAAATGTACTGCTTCCAAATGAAAAGTTCATCATTAATGATCGAGGCAATATTTAAAAAAATTTAGAGAAATAATTAAATGCTTTTTAATACATGGCCAGAGAAGAAAAAACCAGATTCCTAAAAAATATTGATTACACAAAAATAATAATTTGTATCCATTTTAAAGCCATTACATTTTGTTGTTGCAACATTTCAGCTATGCTGGCTTCATATTGGTCCCCCAGGGCAGCCAACTTTCTCATCTGTTCCTCTTTGAGCTTCTTCACCACCGTCTTCTGTTCATTCTTAGGTGTGTTCTGTAGTATATGATCCTTCAGAGCCTTGTACTGACGTTGCTGAGTCTTGACGGCTTCGTTAAATTGCTTACGGATCTGGATCTCTTTGGCCTGTGGATAAATTATTGACTTAAATTTCCATCAATGAATTCCACAAACATGGTAAAAATGTCACCAAGACTTGCGCATAATTTTCAATTAGGAGTTTTATATCTAATGAGTATTGTTCAAACAATTAAGAGATAAACATTTAACATTGAGGTATGTGCTAAAAAATGGCCCCCACCGTTTCCTTAATTCAAATCTTCAAAAAAGAAGATTTAATAAACAGTTGCGTTAAACAAAACTTTCATCTACTTACTTACAACTCTCTACATTTTGTTTACACCTGCTTCTCATTTTTGCTCCCCACATACACATCAAATCTATACCACAGATTGAGCAATTTGTGTCCCACTGGAGCAAGTCTTTGGTTTATAATGGCATGACAATTTTGACTTAAGAAATTACAACTTTGGCTTATACTGACATTACAAGTATGACTTATAATGACATTACAAGTTTGGCTTATAATGACATTACAAGTTGGGCTTATAGCAAAAGACATTACAAGTTTGGCTTATAATGACATTACAACTTTGGCTAAATTCATAAGGGAATATCATTGATGAGGATAATGGGGAGATTCCAACAAAAATCTTGAACGCCTGCAGCACCTCTATCAATGACAACTGTTTAATGATACTCACACGCAGACTTCTAGGCTGCTGCTTCACCTCCAGAGCATGTTTTTTTCTTAGATCAGCCTCTGCACACTGGTTGTAATCTGCCTGGTTGTCTCTCTCAGTCTCGTGCTGCTTCTTGAGCTGCTCATCCTTCATCTTCTGCAGGGCAGCCAAATGTTTGTATTCCAGGTCCTGAGTCGACTCATGGTGTCTCACCAGCATTGTGTGTTCATATTCCAGCTGAGCTCGTCTCTGACCTATCTCCTGTAAGCCATATCTTAGCATTTTATTAAAGTTTACCAATTTAATTTTTTTCATTAGACCCCAAATTCCTAATAAATATTCTCGTTAACAGTTGTCAAACTTTTTCCAATCCCCTCCCCTAATTTACAAAAACTAATTTATGGCCCCCCAAAAAATGCAGAAAGCAAAGAAGTGATTCTTAAATATATCTTGCTAGTTGTTATTACAAAGACTTATTTTACTCTTGACTAACCTCCTGCATTAATCTTTGCTCCAGTTTATGGTATTGTAAAAGTTTTCTGCGTTTGAAAGCCCGAAGGTTAAAATCCAAAGTATCCTTCTGATGTTTTTCTAGCCGAAACTCAGCATCCCTTTTTTTGCGAGTTAAAGTCTCTTTGAAGTTTTTCATTGCATCTTCTCGCTCTTTTTTAGGTGTGCTCGTCTCGAGGCCCTAAATAAAGAATAAAGGTGGGGAAAAAAAATTACACCAAATAATGAGTGTACCACTTCTCTACATTGACTCTACATGCTATTCTTGGTTTTTATAAAATTATGAACACATTAATTTAATAAACTTATAACTTTTAAACTTGATAAAAAAAATTTTAAAGGGATGGTTAAAACGTTTTTATAACATCTAGAAATATATTGTCACAAATTAATCAAGATTAATCATAAAAAATAAATATAAATTATATTAGTTAACAAAACATGTAAGTAAGACTTAAAGAATTCATCCTAATGAACAATACAAGTGTGAAAAAGTTAAGGGAGAATTATTTAACGATAAGCAAGTTAAGATTCTTCGTCTCATTTTACCTTTTTCATTTTCTCTTTATCAGACTTGTAATTCTTTTTCATTTGCTCAGCTAAATTCCTTCTTTCAATGTCATGATTCTGTTGAATATCTCTAAGGAATTTGCGTTCTTGAGCTTGGCTGCCTTTTGACTGGAATTGAAATAAATGTTGAAAATGAATGCTCTTGATATTACTGTCATACATCTCAAACAAATGTACACTAAATATGCAATATTTCTTATCTAAACAGCAGTTAACATGAACATAAAGTTGACATTTTTAAGAGAAAAAAGGAAATGAAATATTAATTAATTTAAATGTTAATATACAGAGAAAAAAAAAAATAGGAGTTAAAGATTCTGTAAATGGTGACGTCACACACAGAGTTTTAAGAAGTGTTATATTATTTTTCTAAGAAAATAAAGCTAGTTCAGTAGCTTAAGTGAAATTATTTTAAAATATCTGATCATAATTTTTGTATAGAATTTAAAAAAGCTTAAATGCAATAATCACATTCAATTTATTAAATTCTTTTTTTTTGGGTCTAATTACCTTGATCTGCATACATTTTAAAACACAATTGCAGTAAGAAAAATGTACCTGATTTCGATGAAGGTATTTAATCCAAAAGTCTCTTAGTACCAAGACTGAAACAGACACCAAACAGTAAAAATATTGAAAAATCACCTGTTTTTCTAGTTCACTTGTGTGCTGAACCTTGAGTTTTTCCAGTTCACGTACAAAACGCTGACGGAGATTATCATACTCTCTGTCCAACTTTTGCTTGTGCTCTTCCATCTCTGCTTTAAACCTTGTTTCCATCTAAAATCATATTTTTGTATATCATAAAAGGTGAAGTCACAGACACAATATTTCATTTTACATCATTAAAATAAAAATAAGACTGGATGTGGGTCATGATTAAGAACTAATTAAGAGTAATCTAACATTTGATTTTAATCCAAATATGACAGTAAAGCAGTTTTTCAAAAATGAAAAAGGTTTAATAAAGCAACTTTAATCAATTAATAGTTTTCTTGTGGTATTTGAGATTTTTTAGTTAAAGTAAATATAGCTTTTAAAGTGCTTATATACATAATTATTCAAAACCTATACTTCATATTTGTTCTCTGACATTTATAATCCTAATCTGATGCAATGTAACATTTTAATTCCCCTTTTTGAACAAAACACTCACTGTCTGTAACTCTTTTTGATGAGCCCTTCGCAGCCTTTTATAAACAGTAAAATTCCTATAGTCATTAGTCCTCTCATGCTCTTTAATCTGTTTCTGGACAATGGAGGTAGTTCGGATGGTTGCAAAGTTGTTGGCCATTGAGGGATCAAAACCTCGAGGGCTACCCCCGGATGCCTATTGAAATATTATAAAAGGTTTTAAGGTCTATTATGTGAACAAATTTGTTAAGAAAATTAGTGAAAAGTGATTTTTTAAGAAAAGTAGTGAAAAGTGGGCAAGAAAATAGTAAGCAGATTCTGAGACTACAAATGAGAATAAATTTGCCAAATTTTTTGACATCCAATTAATTATGTAAATAGATATACATTTAATATTAATTCCCATCCATCCAATCTCAAAAGAAAAAACCTGTTAAAATCTTAGATATGGTTGCAGCTTCAGTTTTTTTTAAATCACACTAGACTAATTTCAATTTGATTTTTTATACTTTAAATTTGAAACAATACAAAAAATTATTTTCATTCAGTTGTTTTTATTTAAAATGTAAATAAAAAAAATTCAAAATAAAAAGTGATATACTTCAAGTGCTCCCAAAAAACTTTGTGTGATGACACGCAAAAGAAAATTTGATAATTTTGTCATTTATGTGCACTTATTGAAAGACTAACAAGGCATATAACTACTCTAGGCATGTGCAAACTCTTTTATTGTATGTCTAACTAATTACACAAGCACTGAGATGCAAATCAATTAACACTGGTAGTTTTTAAATCTTTTTGATCAGTAGACTTGAAAATATAACTCTAATCAAAACCTAAAATGACTTATAACTTTTAAAATATTATTAATTCAATTATTAAATTAAAAATTTAAGTAATTATTTTAATTTTATTATTATGCATTTGTTGTACAATAATAAACATCACAAATATTAAATATGTACTCCGTGAAGAACTTGGCACGCCAGATGGACTTTTCAAAATAAAGTGAGCTCAATATCAGATGGCACTTAAAATAAAAAGTCTGACTTATTACAAAATTGAAAGAGTAGAAAACGTCCATTTTGTAAGCTATACATGACATAAAATTTTTATATTCAAAACCATGGAAAAAAAAAATCACATAATATAGAAAAATATATATATTTTCCCCTCAAATTAACAGTAGAATTGATTCTTTAAAAAAATTAAAATAACTAAGAAATAATTTCTTTTTCAAAAAATTATGCCACACATCTCTTTAACAATTAAAAAAATACTGCATATTTTAGTAACTATCTACATCATGTTCTACATTTTTACTACCAGCCTATTTAATAAATCATTTTTTTTTGTAAAAAGAATAATTTGATTTATCTTTTCCATTGATTGAAATGTCAGTGTATCATTCTTTTTCAAGTCAGACAATTATTTTACGTTCACTTTCAAAGAATCCACAATTTCCATCCAACATACTAAAATATTTTTCTTTTAAATCATTAAACCCTGATTCAACAAGCACAGCATATTTTGTTGATATATTTCACATGAAAACAGAACATGTGTTCATTATTTAGAAACCCTTAATAGAAATTTAAGTGCATCCTAACTTTATTTGCCGAGAATAAATAAGAAAAAGAACCATGCTGTAAGAAAAAAAAGAAGACATAGTTTAAACAAAAATGAATATCGAAACGTGGTGGTCTTTGATGATAAACAGTAGCTGATCAGGACACATTGTTCAAGACTGACATTGAAGCCAGGTAGCGAACTATGTATGATGGCTCATATTTTGAATGCTTCCTATGTTCCCATAAGCTCTTGTGAAGCATTAAGCATCATTTTTAAAGAACTTTTTTATTTCCGATTCCTACATAGACTTTCATTATTAAGAAAGCGTGAAGAATATTTACACAAATTATATCTTGTTAACCCACATGAAGAAAAAATGTTCCCATTAATACCATTAAACCAAGCAACTAAATGCACAGTAAATAAATTGACCTTTTATGGCAAAGTCAATGAGTGCAGAAGAAAGAACTCTGTAAGCAGGCAAAAACTGCAAAATAATGTCATTAACACACACACACACCCTCCCCCACTTCAATATCCTAATATAATTTACCACCCTTTAATGAGCATATTTAAATATCTTGTTCAACAAGAAAGTTTATTTTATAAACAAGAAATTTAATAAAAATTTCTGGTTTCAATTTATGCTTCTAAATATCATGACCATGCAACTAAAAATCATTATTTTCACATGACCCTCAAAAGAAAAAGACAATATCTAATCATATGCAACACCTTTACCATGAATAAGTAATGCAATAATTTTTTTTAAACAGCACACATGCCATCGTCTGCTCAGTATAAAATCCAGTGTAAATACTTGAAAGTACTGACATATACATGAGTACAGACTGACAAATTATTAGAACTTCATGCTGCAGACCATCAACAAAAATGCACGCACGCACAACCAGTGTCATTTTAGAAAATTAAACAAGATACAGAATTGCATCCAAATTTCTCGTGGCATTCACGATGAGATGAGTAAGGGTACCTTTGATGCCAGATAGGGGCTGTAGGAAGCACTCCGATGTGTGAAGGAGGGCCATTCAAAACCACCACCACTGCCCTAAATCATTCAACAATGGTGATAGGATGAAAATGAGATGAGCACACACACAGTTGTTATATGATACAATAATCAGGGGTCCTTAACCAACAACTAAATTGTCTATCTACTAGCTTTTCTTTTTTTAGTAGAGAAACCAAAATGGTATATTTTATTGTTTCAGTGTTATTACAGGAAGAAATTTTAATTACTGGGTATGAAATGCTTATTAATTTCTTTATTTCTAGAAGAATAAGGTTAAGAACCACTGATATTAAAACATTTAAATTACAAATAGACCATGATACTTTTTTTACAATTTTCAGGGTTAATTTGAATATAGCTATCTTTTCAGCAGGTAATACTGTAACAGATGTTTACTATTTAATTTATTCATAAAGGAAGAAAAAATAACTCAAAAGTTGAGTGTTTTTCCACAAAACTGATTTAAAGGTTTTGTTGTTAGTACAGACCTGAAATCTATGAATATTGCTTATTCCAAAAAGAACTTAATTATCCTGTATATATTTATCATGCAGTAAAAATAAAAATTCCACTATAATCAGTGGAAAGGAAAGCAGGCATGGTTACCCTGGAACTCTTAAAATCATACAATATCGTCTCGTACAATAAAGTATCTTAATAGCAAATAAATAAAAATTCTGTTTATATAATGTATACAATAACTATTCGCATCACGTGTCTAGCAAAAAAGGTAACTTCCAAAAGTAGATGACTGACATTTAAATTGTAATTAACATTCACTTTGTTTTGCAGGCGTGAATCTGCTATAAATATCAATTAATATTTGAGTGAATGTGCAGATCATATTTCTCACTTTGTCACTGGTAAAAATATAGTTACTGGTGAAATTTAAGGTGGTTCAAACTCGAAGTAAGTTTCGCATAAAATAAACTTTATTGAAATAAGAATTAAGAAATAAGGACATCATTTACAAAAACTACCAAGTAACTTGAGATTTATTTTATAGAAAAAACTTTTTAAAAAAATAAGAATCAATAGCCTATTTCCCGTTAACAAATTATTATAGTCTGATAACTACCATGTATGCAAGGAAGAAGAATGTTGGAACCAAACGGAATGTATATATTTTCAACCTGGTCTATTAAGATCGAAGTTCAGGTCTTGGCGTATAATCGTAAAAGACATCTCAAAATCATATATTGCACTCCAAAATCACAAGAGTAAACAGGTCTGTGAAAGGTCTGATTTTTTAAAAATTAACATCTAAATATGATGGTATAATTATCATAGTTTTTAAGTATTTTTGTTAAACTGTAAACTATAATCTATATATGTAAAATAATTCCTTTATTTGAAAATGTTACAAGTTACGTATTTTTTTAAGAAACACCCAAAACAATCCAAAAATTAACACTTTTAAAAGCCACAAAATTCAATTATGGCTGACACATACTTGTTTTCTTTTTATAGACGGAATTAATAATACTATTGAAAATTGTATTAGGAATTGTTACTGTCTCGTCTTTTAACAGTGCTTTCAGCAATTAGGATTGTGAAGGATTAACTTAAATATTATTACATAGTGATTTCCCATATTTGACATATGCGTTGTTTCATACAGGAAATATCACATGTAAAATGTACAATGATTCCATTCTAGCTTAAACTATTTATTAAAAATTTAATTGGTACATTATCAGGAAATACTTCTTCCAGAAGATTTTCTTAAAATAACAACATTGATAGCGCACAAAGCCATGCCATGCAAAGTTACCTGTAAATGCAATTGTACTGTGACAGGAGACTAAAAGAGAAGTAATAATATTTCAAGATGATATTATGTCTTTTTAAAAAAATGTCTTGTTTTCTTTTAAAGTCAGTTTATACTAAGTTTGAAAATTGTCTGTATGATGCTGGCTTAGACTTTAGGATATATTTCTATAACAAAAATTTCTAATGAAAAGAATACTACTCATTAGTATCCAGACAAAAAAAATTAAAAACTTGTAAGCAATAATTTTATCCTTCTTTACCTTAATTTGGGGGAGAAGATGGGTATCCTATTTTTAAAAAAATGTTTTGGGAGTGGAGTGCAGATGAATTATATTAAAGAGCTCTAGCATCGACATATGGTACAGTGTGCATACATTTGTGGACATTGTGCAAATTCATTTAAACAGTGTTTTTAAGAGTGGTGTGTTGATGATTTTATGCACATTAATTTATGTTTAATGCATACATACTCATAATAAGTGCACGATTATAACACTTAATATTATGATGTCTGGCTTCAATAAAAAAAATATATTAATTTTGTAATGGTTGCTTTCAGCAAAATTAACATGACTTATTTTAATCCATATTTTTTTACATGAACATTTACAAAGCAGATATACTTTATGTTAAATGAAAAGAAAATATATAAAATAAAGCAAACAAGCAGCATTCCTTTCAGAAGTAAATGAATAATTATTTAACATACTTTATGTACTATACAAGATAATAGATTGGCAACACAAGTGATTATTACTACACAAAAGTTTTTTTTTAAAAAGAAGGGATTTAAGACAATTTAAATGAACAAACGCCACACTTACATGTCTTTCCCTGGAAAATGAAATGGGCTCTTCATTTTGGCTAGCCTGTGACAAACTTGCCACACTACTTTGGCTGCTGGCAGTGTTGCTGTGTTGACTTGGAAGGCTGTCAGACTTGCTGTCTAAGTTCTCGTCATCCTGTAATCAAGAAGTTTTCAGTCAAGATCTCACTTAAATATTACAATCCATCAAGTATTAGTATAGTGTTCAATGATTACTATGATAATATTTAGTCCAATAATAGTTAATATCCGTGTTATTCATACTAAAAAAATTAACTTTTCAAGTGTTGATCTGCAGAACTTGTATTTTACAGAGAAATAAATTATAATATGATTAATCCTAGACACAAAAATACCAACATGTCAACAGTAGTTAAGTTTATTCATGACAAGAATGAAAGAAATGAATGAAAGTAAACTCTGCTCTATAAAATTCTTAAAATTTACTTTGGACCATTGTCATCTATTCCCCTGAATCGTTGATTCTACCCTAGATAATAATGTCTAATACTTCGATTTCTGCTACAATTAAAATTTATTCTTAGCCAACCTGGGAAGAGTTGTCATCAGGTACAACCAAAAGATCATCTACGCCCGACACTGTGGATCCCTCCAACAGACTTTCCTCATTTCCTCCATTCATGATCAGTTTATTGAGCCTTTTGAACTGCAGATTGTCAAGCTGCTTCACTGCTGTTTTAGTTCGCTGGATAAGTTCCAATATGACATCTGATCGACGTGTCTTCCGGACAAAAGGGTGCTGTTGAGTTTAGATGATATTTGAAAAATCATCACATGGAAAAATGAAATATAAGAATTAGAAAAACAAGAATTAGCTGAAATTTAAAAAATATTACTAGGCAAAAATGCAGTAATTGCTCTGCATTGCTCAATTCTCAGTTTAAAAAAATATGGCTCTTGAAGTTACAACAAAAAACAAAAAACAAAAAAAACAAAAAAAACAAAAAAAATAGTAATAAGATTGAAAAATATTAGAACCCATCCAACCCATAAATAAAAAATAAAAAACTAAGTTTATATTTATATTATAAATTTGTGTTTTTAAATCAAAACCAGACTTTAAGAACTAAGAATATTTAAAGATAAAACATAGGCAAATGAAGTAAAAACTTACCAACAGTAAATCTGTGGCTGATGGTCTATCTTTGGGTATCTTATTCAGACAAGCAGTCACAAAGTTGTGAAACTCATCTGTCCAGTCCCCACCTGACAAACCCGGGGAGTCATTCTGAGCAATATGATACAATGCACTCATGGCATTCATGTTGAAAAGTGGCGGCTTGCGTTCAGCTGTGAACAATATTTCAAATCATCAAGTTCAAATAATTTAATTAATGAAAAATTAAGGCGTAAGAATACAGTTGAGAATCTCATTTAGTGGTTATGTAAATATATACAAATTTTTAAAAATTTAAAGACATAATATTCTTTGTAAATGAAAATCCCTTGCCAAGAGATAGTTCCTTCATTTAAGGAAACATAAAAATCAAACTCGATTTGCATGTTACATATTTTTAATAGCTATGGTAAAGTTAATAAAAAGTAAAGGAAATTTCTTACCCATTTCTATACAAGTGATACCTAAAGACCAGACATCAGCTTTACCATCATACTGGCCCTCATCCATAGCTAAAATAACTTCTGGGGCCATCCAATATGGTGTACCCACAAATGAATTAGCTGGGCATATCAAGGAAGCAGACCCAAAATCAGCTGTAGATAAAATGAATACAATATAACTAAATTTTAAAAAAATTCAATAAAAATTACATTGTTCATCATTGTTGGCTAACAAAGCCATATTCATATAAGAATATTTAAATATGTTATGTTTTATTGGTACTAACCAGAGCAAGATTTGGGCTTAATGGAATTAAGTGCCTTACCAAGCTTGACCGTTCCATTTTCTGTGAGTAGTATGTTCCCTGCTTTTACATCCCTGTGAATTTTGCCCTGACTGTGGAGGTAGGTGAGCCCTTCTAGAGCATCTTGACAAATAGCAGAAATCTCCACCTCCTTTAAGGGTTTCTTGTGAACTGTTGAATTATAATAAGTTAATTTATGCACCAAAAATAACTAACTTTTAAAAACATAAGAAAAAAACTAAAATATCTTTCAATAAACAATGAGGATTTACAGTCAGTGGTGTAATCCTAAAATAAATAGCACCTGGAGAGCCAGCCTTGTAAAGTGGGGGAAGTGATATAGCTAAATTGTTTTTCATTCACTTTGTTTAATCATATCTGATTCCCCCACTTAATTCCACTGCACTTTCACTCCAAAATTTTAGAAACACATATTTACAAAATTAGAAGCATTACAACAACTGCTTTTCAAAGTTTAAAAAATTCCTGTGCCATGTAAAAATTGACATTATAAATAGTATTCAGCAAATAAATCTATCTAAATGACTCACCTTCTATTATGTCGGAGGCAGATCCCAAACAATATTCCATAACAAGCTAGAATTTAAAAATGCAAGATATGTTTTAAAATATTTATAGAAATACCTTTTTAAAAAAAGAGGTTGACATATCCATTGTTAACAATAACAATATTTTTAAAAAAGCAATTAGACTCCAAAAACCTTACGAGTATCATCATTGTCTCATTTTTAACAAAAATAATGGACATCAATTTAATTTTTTTTAAATGCGATTCTTCATACATTTTTATCAATAGAAAAATTGTAAAACTTAAACTCACCCATGCCGTGTGCTCTTTGATAAAACATCCTTTGTATTCAATTGTATTCCTATGTTTAAGTTGACGTAAAAATTTCACTTCCTTGATGATGTCCTGCCATTTCTATAGTGAAATTGCAAGATAGTATTAGAAAGAGTAATTTTTCCTTTTAAATACAGTACTTGGAATTCTTAATGTAAAATAAATATATATAAATGAGGCAAGATATTACATAATTTATAGTTAAAAAAATTTTTTTTAAATTCCTAGTAATAACGATATGAGGTAAAAATGTGTACTTACATCAGTAGAGCCCTTTCCATTATATGACATCTTTTTAATGGCCACCACCTCCTTGGTAACATTGTTACGGGCCTTTTATGTAAAAGAAATGAAATAGAAAGGATTAAAATAATAAGCACATATGATATTGGCCACAGAATGTTAATTGTAAATATTAGTACAATATGTGAAGAACTAAGACTGGCCTTACAAAATAAACAGCACCAAAGCTTCCATGTCCGATTTCTCTTAAATCTGTAAAGATCTTTTCTGGATCCTCATTAGAGAACAGTCCGGCAACTTCTGGATCTTTAAGATTACCAGGCTTTGGGGCTGGTGGCATGACGCTCGCCACTCTATCTCACGCTGAAGTACACGGCCTATTGCCAGTGTTTAAGGGAATGGCCTGGCACTCTTTTCTCCTCATTCGACTTACTGTCATTAGTGTCTTAATTCTGAAACAGTCAAATAAATGAAAAATGATACAAAAGTAAATGTTGATATTTTGTTCATGAATTAATTACTATCATTCTGAGAGTCTGAAGAAAATTACCAGGCAATATTCTTAACTGCTTTTCAAAGAAATAAAATAATGAAATGTTAAGCTCATTTTCACAATACTGTGGACCCTCAATATCAAAAGTGACAAATATATCAGACACATTTTTTTTACATAAAATTTAACTAAAAATGGTTTAATCCAGGGGTCTCCAAACTACGGCCCGCGGAGACCTTTTGTAAACGGAATAAAAAATTACTCAAAAGTACGTGTTTCCTGACAAGATCAGACGCTGCTTACGTGGACGTTATATTTTTACAGACTTAAAATAGAGGCGCGCTGTAGTGCATTATGTTTTCGAACCTATCATTAATTTGCAAAATCTTATTCGATGCTTAGTTTTTCTACTTTCCTTCACAGTCAATGAAATGACATGTAGTGGCGGGGCTTTGCCCGCCGTGTTGCAGATATGGGTGAAAACATTGTGACTCAAATATCGAAAAATACAAGCAAGTTTCAAAAATTTTTATTTGCAATGGATGAATCGCTCGACAGCTGTTCCACCTCTCAACTGCATGTGTTCGTTAGGAGTATTGTTGAAGACATGAACATAACACAAGATCTATACACCTCTTAAAGGCCTTCAGATCTAAACTCGTCTTGTTTTCGGAACAAGTACAGACCAACAACTTTACGCTCTTGTAGCAGTGGACGGTCTTCATGGCTGAAGCAACAGCGGAGTTCCCCACGTCATTTGCATGCGAGATCATCAAAGACCCCCCAGCTGCATTTTCAGCAGCTGTTTTCTGACTTGGATTTAAAGGCAGAAGAAGTGAGACTTTTTCAAAACCCAATTGAAACAGATGTGGCCAGTTACACAGAGGAACTGCAGCTCATTAACTGAATGAAATATTATTATTTGAATAATTAAAAACAACATCCATGTTTTGATTCTTTTTTATTTGGACCTCAAGTGCAGTGATTATTTCAGAAATTTTCCCGGGGGGGGGGGGCGGCAGTGCCAGCAGTGCAAGTTGATACATCGTTGGAAATATTTTTTCTCCGGAGGGGGGATCACTTGGCTTCTGTTTGATAGTTATTGCGGCCTTTGGGCTGAAAAGTTTGGAGACCCCTGGTTTAATCCATTGCCAACTCCGGGGGGGGGGGGCGGCAGTGCCAGCAGTGCAAGTTGATACATCGTTGGAAATATTTTTTCTCCGGAGGGGGGATCACTTGGCTTCTGTTTGATAGTTAATGCGGCCTTTGGGCTGAAAAGTTTGGAGACCCCTGGTTTAATCCATTGCCAACACTGAATTTCGCCTATCTATTTTTTATTCTTTAACAAATTTCAATCGAAAATCAATTTATGAAATCATCACATCTCAAATTATGCCAACTTCAAATTAAGTCAAATACGAAAATTATTATTGATTGATTGTGTAAATCAGTTGTTTACAACTTCCATAAAGAAAACTCAACCAAAATTTATGAACCAATACTTATAATCATGCAATATTTATTGTTCTAAACCTGTTTTCAGATACAACAAGCTTTGTAACCTCACCCAGGAAACATTTAGGACTAGTTGGCATATTGTATTAAAGTTGTTTATATACTGCCATCATTATAATAGCTGATTGATTATCAGCATTTTATGCATGAAGGTAAATTAAACAATGGTATAGTATATTATATAGAATAGCTCAACTAAAATTGAAATGTGTACTGGAACAGCAGATGGTCGAAATTATTTAAAATACTATACAATTCACACATGAAAAATAGGATTAGTTATTAAGCCAAAAGAGATATAAATAGGCCTACACTCTAGCCTTATTAATAAAATGTGATCTTAGAATTAGAACATTACTTGACTTGGTGTATACCAACTAAGACTAAGGAAGGTCTTAACAAAACATTTGACTTCAGAGTTGGAGACAAGTATTATAAATTATAATAAAATAAGAAAAGGATACTAGGACTAGGAACTATTTATTTAGTATAGGCCATTATAGGCATTTTAATTTTAAGGTGACTTTAACTTTAAGTTAACTAAGACTAAACTTAAACAGTAAGCCCTCTACTGCTCTTGTCTCTACACTGTTATCCAACAATGAGGTTCATACTCTTACTGTTCACCCCTGTTAGAAGTAGGTACTAGGCTTACTAGGATACTTTCCCCTAAAATATGCAGCCATGAAACTATCCCTGAGATATGAGTGCTGCACCGTTGGCAGTTGGGCACTAAAATACTAAAAGGAAAACTTTAAAAATCAAATTTTTATGTTAAACTGACCTTTGATTTTATTACTTTATTGACTTAGTCAGCGTACGGTAGTCTTAGTGTCCTTAACTAGGACTAAGTTAAGTGTAGTGTAGCCTGTACACTGTATGAATGACTGTAACTTCAGTGTAACTGTAGGTTAGTGTGGCAAGATCTTATTACTTTTTAGTCTAGTATTGAATATATTGGTGAATAATAACTGACATTAACACATTAATAAGAATCCTAAGCTATTTTATTTAAATTAAAATTAATAACTGTTTGAAGATACACGGTCAAAACAATCCGGAAAGAGTAGAAAGATGGAAGTCATATAAATAAAATTGAGTGAGAGAGATCCCGTCGTCATCGGAAATAGGAGCAAATAAGGTTGGTGGGCTTTGGAAGTTATTTCAATGTCATATAACGCTCATAAAAATATTGTTTAATGAAAAAAATAAGTGATACTTGCTTATTTATTAGGTTACTTTTAAGTTAAACTTCAAATATAAACATTATTATATTGTCCTCTAACTCGCAATGTTTACGACTAGATATACTTATGAAAATTCCTTACACACAAAATGGAGGACAGACATGCGCAATGACCACTTAAGTTACTATCTGTAAGAGATATGAAAAAAAAAATAAAAGACAGCGAATGTATATAATTGCCTTATATATCCACTAAGGCAAAACTAAACCAATTAATTCTAAGCTAACGCACAACAATTACAGTACTTTTGCATGCAAATATTTTATTAATGAATAAAGTTGAAGTATATAAGTCCACCACTAACGGGAGGACATTTAATTACGTCACCGGAAGTGGGCCGACAAATGCGTTAATGAAAATTTGATTGGTTCAAATTTTGGTTTCGTTATGAACTTGCTATTTCCTACTCAGTCCTTCCATAATAAATGGACTGAATTTAAGTTAGTCTGATTTCTATCTTTTTGTTGTTTCTTGCTCTATCTTGTCTGCTGAAGAAGGCTTTCATCCGAAATGCTACTTTCCTGTTTTCTATTACAAGCTTCAACATACATTTTCCCATTATTTTCTTCTGTTTACTACAGTAGAGTGTCGATTTTCCGAACGCCAATTATTCGAAACGCGGATCAACCGAACAGCCCCGGTCTTCTTTTAAAATTATTATCTTACGCAGTGCGTATGGCATGGAATATTTGTGTAAAAAAGTTCAGAAAAGTAATTCCGGCACCAACTTTCTGGAGGCTATTCCAGCAGCCCCTCCCCCCCCCCCCCCCCCCCCCTCGATTCCCATTCACAGTGGTTTCTCATCAATGTTAAAATTTTAAAATCCTTTTACATTAAAGCGTTTGCTCGTTTTTTTTTCTTTCTTTCTATGTTTGTGGCAAAGTTTTTGGAAGGCCAATCGACCACTTTCCGTCATCCTATCAAGCTGAAATTTGGCACATCGTGACTTGTTGCCGATGACAAACACATTCTATCAAATTTTTAGCCCCAACCTCCAAAAATAAGTTTTAACGCTACCAGACGCCAATGATTTCACTGCGCTAATTGAGATTCGTAAAAAATATCGCAAGTGCATTTGGTGCGTAATATTTTCTTTTGTTTTACAGAAATGTTGGTGTAATAAATCTGCAGCGTAAAAGTGGGTTGGGCATTAGAATACTAATATAGTTCATGGGCGTGAAAAAATGTGTGGCTGTGAGCGTTGATTTGGGGGGAGGGGGGCGCACTAAATTGGGATTCTTTTAAAGTGCGTTACTTGAAAGAATGTTTTGTCAAATTTTCTGTCCCACCCCAAGCCCCAAATAATTATATTAACTGCGCTTTTGTTAATGTGTTTCTTTCTTGCAAAATATTTGGAAGGCTAATTGACCCACTTCCCGTCCACTTAATAGAGCCGAAACTTGGTTGCAATAAATCGAAAATGCCGCCACACAAAAAAAAAATAATAATAATAAATAAAAAGAATTGCAACCCATATTAACCGTAGAAATTGCTCATTAAAAATATTCTTAGGCTTAAGGAAGGTATATATTTCTCAGAGCAATATTTTTATTAGCCAAAATATCTATTGGATCACTCTGCCCCGCGATGTAGACATTCGCTCATCCAAACAACTGAGCATGTCGTCGACCCGCGCCAACCATTCGTCTCTTCTATATCTACAACGACTCTGGTGATCCACGGCTGTCCCCATATCTTCTGAGAGTTCTTATGCGATATGGGTAAACGCAACTTTGACTAGCTCGCCCCTATTAACAACTATGATTATTTTCAAGCTTCAACTTTTAACTTTTTTTTTGTGCGTATACTTTATATTATACTCCTTAGACCAGTGGTTCTCAACCTGTGGGTCGCGACCCCTTTGGGGGTCGCACGACCCTTTTCCAGGGGTCGCCTAAGACCATCAGAAAAATATATAATCTACAGTTATGACGTAGCAACGAAAATAATGTAGTTTGGGGTCGCCACAACAATGGGAACTTTATTAAGGGGTCGCGGCATTAGGAAGGTTGAGAACCACTGCCTTAGACTTAAAGGTAAGCATTTTTTCGCTAAACAAGAATAACAACTAAAGGTGAAATGCCCGTACATGTTCAGGTATTCAAATCAACAGACACTTTTTTTTAATGCCAGGGAAGACCTACGTTTGCAAAATTAGGAACATAAAAACCACAATACATATGAATGACAATCAGATCTATTACAACCGGAAATCTGTGTTGGGAGTGGGGGGAGAGCTGATCCCTGGAATGGTAGTAGCAAACGAAACACGTCGATTTATTATTATCCCACGAAAAATCCGAAAATACTGCGGTAGTCATAGCATTTGATATATAAAAAAATATAATAAGTTAGTAATTGTAACCCTCTCTATTAGAAACTATTATGATGCTAAACAGGATAGTTTGTGTAATTTAAAAAAAAAAAAATGAGAGGCCTCACTTCGACTCAAAATCAAAATGCTATGACTAGATTTCGACTCAAAATGCTATGACTTGATTTCGACTCAAAATGCTATGACTTGATTTCGACTCAAAATGCTATGACTTGATTTCGACTCAAAATGCTATGACTTGATTTCGACTCAAAATGCTATGACTTGATTTCGACTCAAAATGCTATGACTTGATTTCGACTCAAAATGCTGTGGTGGTAATCAATTCTTCCCTTGCAGACGTACATTACTGCACAGTTAAAAACAAGGCGGGGAATTTAACAATCGGCCGCTCGAATGTAAAATATTCTGTGTTTACCTCCCCTGAAATTTTGTTGTTGACTTTTGGGTTGAGAGACCCACAAAATAAATGACCTTTAATAATATTAATCGTTAACTCCTTTAACCTGTTTTAGTATTTCTTGGATCATAAAATAGTGTTACATTTTTAAAGAAAACTTTATTTTTTAAATTTAAGCAGTGATTGAAATTCGCTACCGCCTATCACCTCCAACCATCTCCATGTTACCTCCCTGAACTAGCACCCGCGAAGCCCCCTCTGTCTTCCTCCTCCTCTTTAACCTCTGCCCACATTTACAATTTCTCTCCCTCACATAGTTGATGTCCTCAGTAACGAAAATGTATGTTTCCCAATTCGCCCCCTACCTCACCTCCTATCTACCTCACCACGACTTCCCTTCTACCTCACCTCCTCTCTACCTCACCACGACTTCCCTTCTACCTCACCTCCTCTCTACCTCACCACGACTTCCCTTCTACCTTACCTCACCTCTTACCCGCCCTCCTCGCATCTTCTATTCTCGTCACAAACAAACGACTATCATTCCTTCACCATCTAGCCACACCTTTACCCCCCCCAACTCCCACTCTTCCCTTTCAACCATATACTACCTCATTCCCTAATCATTCCCTTTATACGGAGCTCCCATTCCCTCCCCCTACCATCTACACAATCCTTCCCTAAGTAATCCCCAGAACATTTTTTTTGTTTCCCATTCCCCTCCCCCAACTCCCCCCCTTTCACGCCCACACTCACCCCATATCACTTTTTTTTGTTTCCCATTCCCCCCCCCCCACCCCCCCCCTTTCCCGCCCCCCCTCCCCCCCTATCCCTAATCTATCCCCCCCCCCCCCATCAACCTACTATGTCACCACTTACCCCAACCTCTGCCGACCAATCCTCCATTACACCTAAGCCCAACCACGGCCACTCCATCCCATAAAACCACTTACCTATAACCACTGCCACCCAATCCCCTGTTACCCCTTGCCTATAACCACTGCCAACCAATCCCCTGTTACCCCTTACCTATAACCACTGCCACCCAATCCCCTGTTACCCCTTACCTATAACCACTGCCAACCAATCCCCTGTGACCCCTTACCTATAACCACGGCCAAACAATCCCCTGTTACCCTTTACCTATAACCACTGCCACCCAATCCCCTGTTACCCCTTACCTATAACCACTGCCAACCAACCCCCTGTTACCACTTACCTATAACCACTGTCACCCAATCCCCTGTTACCACTTACCTATAACCACTGCCACCCAATCCCCTGTTACCCCTTACCTTAACCACTGCCACCCAATCCCCTGTTACCACTTACCTATAACCACTGCCACCCAATCCCCTGTAACCACTTACCTATAACCACTGCCACCCAATCCATCATTACCCCACACCCAACAGGTTTTTTTTAGAGGTAAGTGCGAAAAAGTCAAGGTAAAGCCCGGTCGTCAGCTAATTTTTGTAACGCCAATGTGATATCATAACTCTGCAATCAATTGAGTTGGGGGGGGGGGGGGGGGGTGGTGATAGCTTACTGATTTTAGGAAGTGTGATGTCACAACTTTGATGTTAACTGAAATTTGGGGTACTGATGTCAAAACGATTGTAGTTATGTGATGTCACAACAATAATTATGATATTTACATATGTTTGCGTGTGATATCAAATTGATATACACCCTTTGTTTGGGAGGGTCATGCCGAAATGATATAGGCCTTCACCAATGTTTGGGAAGGTGATGTCGAAATGATATAGGCCTTCACCAGTGTTTGGGAAGGTGATGTCAAACTGACATACTCTTAGTGTTTGAGATAGTTATGTCAAAATGATATACACCAGTGTTTGAGAAGGTGATGTGAAACTTATATACATCAGTGTTTGGGAGGCTGATGTCAAATTGATATACACCAGTGTGTGGGAGGGTGATGTCACAAACTGATATACACTAGTGTTTGAGAGGATATAAAACTGATGATATACACCAGTGTGTGGGTGGGTGAAATCAAAACGATGTACACTAGTATTTGGGAGGATGATGTCAAACTGATAGATGCCAGTGTTTGGGAGGGTGATGTCAAACTGATAGATGCCAGTGTTTGGGAGGGTGATGTCAAACTGATAGATGCCAGTGTTTGGGAGGGTGATGTCAAACTGATAGATGCCAGTGTTTGGGAGGGTGATGTCAAACTGATAGATGCCAGTGTTTGGGAGGGTGATGTCAAACTGATAGATGCCAGTGTTTGGGAGGGTGATGTCAAACTGATAGATGCCAGTGTTTGGGAGGATGATGTCAAACTGATAGATGCCAGTGTTTGGGAGGGTGATGTCAAACTGATAGATGCCAGTGTTTGGGAGGGTGATGTCAAACTGATAGATGCCAGTGTTTGGGAGGGTGATGTCAAACTGATAGATGCCAGTGTTTGGGAGGATGATGTCAAACTGATAGATGCCAGTGTTTGGGAGGACGATGTCCAACTGATAGATGCCAGTGTTTGGGAGGATGATGTCAAACTGATAGATGCCAGTGTTTGGGAGGATGATGTCAAACTGATACATGCCAGTGTTTGGGAGGATGATGTCAAACTGATAGATGCCAGTGTTTGGGAGGGTGATGTCCAACTTATAGATGCCAGTGTTTGGGAGGGTGATGTCAAACTGATAGATGCCAGTGTTTGGGAGGGTGATGTCAAACTGATAGATGCCAGTGTTTGGGAGGTGATGTCAAACTGATAGATGCCAGTGTTTGGGAGGGTGATGTCAAACTGATAGATGCCAGTGTTTGGGAGGATGATGTCCAACTGATAGATGCCAGTGTTTGGGAGGGTGATGTCAAACTGATAGATGACAGTGTTTGGGAGGGTGATGTCAAACTGATAGATGCCAGTGTTTGGGAGGGTGATGTCAAACTGATAGATTCCAGTGTTTGGGAGGGTGATGTCAAACTGATAGATGCCAGTGTTTGGGAGGGTGATGTCAAACTGATAGATGCCAGTGTTTGGGAGGGTGATGTCAAACTGATAGATGCCAGTGTTTGGGAGGGTGATGTC